AGAAAAACTTTGAGAAGAAAATATAGGTTAACAGTATTGACTATGGAGATTTGTGAAAAACCAGATGTGTCATTAAAACCCAACAACACTGACCCTGCCAATGCTTCACACATGTTCTTCATCTCCTATAACCAAATTAGCAAACTATGTAAATATTTCTATTTTTTTTTATTTTAAATATTTTTCTTTTTTATCAATTCATTTTTAACAGTAGTATTAAAATTAGGTGACTGAGTGCTGAACTGCTGTGTAATATCAGTCCTTCTATATAGCAGTGAATGCTGGACAATTTCTTCTCAGATGAATAGAAGATTTGAGGCAATAGAATTATTATTCTACATAAGCAGGCTAATAACATGGATAGGACATGTGATCAATAAGGAAGTTTAAAGGAAAATACAAACAAAAGAGAAACTTTTACTTTAAATCAGAAAGTGACAGTTGAAATGCCTGGAACACAAAATGAGGAAAGAATGCTTGGAAAATTTGACACTCACAAGACATTGAAAGCAAGAAGAACAGAAGAAAACAGTGACTAACCTAATTAATGTGGTTGTGTAAATGGATGGCAGAACAGAGAGTTAGAGGAATAGTAAATAGACAAACATTGCTGAGAGCTACAAAGGATAGTAAGTAATGGAGAGTCATGATTAAAAAAAAAACAGAAATTGGCATTGTTTTAATGTAAGACATATTTCATGCTGACTCATACAAAATTTTGTTTGATTTGTAACCAGTACAAATTTTTATATTCATTCCAAGTGACTGAAAGAAATGTTAAAATCCTATAAAAATATAAACAAAAATTAGAAAATCCCCAACAAACTAATATTCCTTTAAAACTTTTAAATGAAAAAAAAAATGTTTTTCTTAATGTTCATACTTCTTTCTTATTGTATGTGTCGTGTCCCTTTCTTTCATGCAGTAATGTCTATAAACATATTTTTCTGCTCCCCCCCCACCAGTTAGGAACCTAATACCAACAAAATATCTTTGTTATCGTGATGTCCCTTGGAATTAAGTTTTTAATCATCCTGTTCAAAAATACATGTCCGAGGTTCCTCATGGGTGAAAGCTGTCATCGATGCTTTCATCCCAGCATGGAAATATCAAGTGAAATCATATCCTTGGTTCTCACTTACATGCTAAGTTGCTATAACTTTTTCTGGTTGTACCAGAGCGATATGTCTGATTGCAACAGATGCCTTTTTGCCTCTGCTCATAGGACATACTGAGTTCAGGAGGGATAGAGAAAAATTGCATGACCTATCTAGCAAGCTTGGGTAAATGAATAGTTTAGTAGAGATAACAAAAAGACAAAATTTATTAAGTGGTACAAATCACAGAAAATTATGGAGAGCCATGATCACCAATGGCCTAAGGAGACACAGTACATAAAAGAAGAAGAGTTTGAACTGTACAATAATGCTACAGGTTAAATATTTTCATGAGTTTTGTTAATGGGATTACATGCCCACTTTTAGGAGAGAAATGTCCAGGTCTCAGCATTTTTCACAATAAATATTTCTCAAAAAGCATTTGTAATTTTGATACCATTCTTCAGTCTTTATGCTGACCTTAAATTCTCTACTGATAATGTCCATTAAGCTATCAATGCTTCCTGGGAAATGATTATTGCTTTGACTTTGCAAAAGGTGGGAAAAGATAGTTTTGCTTTTTCATCTTATGCCTCTTCAAAGCTATCATTTGTTAAACATTGAATAAAAGACTCGCTTATTCCCTAACCAAATTGTCCATTTCTGTTGATTTGGCTTGAAATGTAACCATTTGACTGTTCTGTCACTCCTTACTTTCTCTGAAACTGGTAAATCCACGTAGATGTAAATACTACAGAACCCAACACTTTATAATAAAAAGGCTTGGAATGCTAAAGAAATGATGGTATAGTTGCCCACCCATATCCAAGTATATTCTGCTAGGGTGACTATGTAATCTCTGTTGACGATGCCTGCTCTAGTATATTTGCATTTTCATAGAGTCAACATGTTTTATTCTGTAATTATGCTGAGTTACAGCTTCTGGGCAAGAGTGCATAATCAGGCATAATCTACAAGTCTGAACAAGAAAATTATGCTCAAACCCTCAGTCACAATGACTTGTAAGTTTATGCTGTCATGAACATCAATAGCTTCTGAACAACTTTGACTCCCCAATTTCACTTGCAAGAATTGGGTCAACCCATGGTTTGGTTTTCAGACACTTCCCAAACCTCCCCAAGTCTATAACATTAGTATATAATTGTGAACTATTAATAGAGCTGGCTGCTCATATTCAAGTCATTTGCTAGGGTGGCTTTGGTAATCTCTTTTGGGGATACCTGCTCAGGCACATTTGAGCTTCATCAACACTCAGAAATCTAACCTATTGTTCATGCTTGTAACTATAATAATAATATATTGTTTATAACAGGCTACTTGTTTCTGAGTAAGTCTAAGGTGGCAAGCTAATCCCTATTGCAGGTGACTTCTCAGGCACATATGAATTTCTTCAACACTCATATAGCCAACCTGTTGGTCATACTCCAATTATGCTGAGTATACCTCAGTTACAGTTTCTGGGAGAGAATACATAATTAGGAATGATGAAAAGGTTTGAATAAGGCCAGTAACTCAAACCTTCAATCATGATTATATGCCATGAAGCAGCTAATGGCAATCCCAAAAGATGACTTTACAGATTGTCTAGAAAAATGGAAGGAATGCTGGGATATATATTGTTGTCCTCAGCAGGTTATGTTTTTGTAAATATTAACTGACTGGATACTTTTTAAACAAATCTCGTACATGTAAGATTAAATCTATGATGGAAGTCAATTGGCTTGGAGCGATTACGAATATTATCAAAATTTTAAAAAAAAAGACACAAATTCCAGGGTTATTTAAAATTAAAGATTTCTCTTATTGATAATACAATTTGACAATATTTTACCCAAATTGGCTGAGTTCTGAAATTATGTTTGTACAATATGCTTCTACCAACTTAATTAAAAATGTTTTTTTTTTCATTTCACTTTCTTCGATCAATGGCGAAAAAGAGTTTGAGTAAATGAAAATTGTAGGCCTTAGTGAGGACCATACTCCTTCAAAACTTGAGGACTCATGCTACAGAATCACAAAGAAATGTACTAAATAATAGAAACCAGATCACTTGTGAACTTTCAATAGCAACAATTAAAATAGTACATGTAACAGAAAGATAAAATTATGACATAATTAAGATTTTGATATTCAACAGTTCTTCAAACAAAAGATTAGAAAGGAATCTACTTCAGAACTGTAAAAAGCAACATCAGTGGAACCGAGAAACTTATTTTCCTGAAAAATCTTTTAAAGAAAAAGGTTTTATAAATTTCAACCAGAAGCAGTACTGACTGTTCAGTCAAAGAATGCCTTATAAGGAAATGGCTAATAATACTATTACCATTTTTGTATTTGTTGTAACCTAGGAAAAGATTACTGAATAAGAATAACCAAAATGAAGGTTGGAAATTGAATGATAGTATTTATAACAGGAACAACATACATGATCCGCCAGCGGTGTATAGTAAGTAATCAACTGCTAGAAGTGATTCAAGGTGAAACCCAAGTGAATCAACATACAGTATATTCCACTGTATTTATAAGGATTGGGATATACCCATTATAGTTCATAGGTACAGTATAATGATATTAAAAATCTAAGTATTTAAAGCATATTTAAGTATTTAATATTTAAATATTTTTTTCAAGGAAACTAAAACACAGTTGTCCAAAACAGTCTATTCTTTTAGGGAATATTAACTCACTGGATTATTTGGTTTGGTTTGGTTTATTTTGTTTTACGGCATATCAACCTCAATGGGTTATTTAATGCTGACAGAATTTTTTATTGCTGGTAATATTTTGTTTTGTCAAAAATTTGTTTCTGGTAATATTTTTCCTTCAAAATTGTATTGTTGGTAATAATTTTTTCAAAAAGTATTGCTAGTAATAGTTAACTATTTGCCCATAGCTGGGGCCCTAACAGGTGCTACTACCCCAGGTCAGGGTGGGGCTGGGAACACCAGCAATTAAGAGGTAGTTCCATGCTCCTCAAAACCTCCTGATCACAGGCCTTGTTGCTGGACGTAGTTTATCGTCTTACCCAGGACGCACATGTAGTTTAACGTCTTACCCAGGATGACACTGGATTCTTTTTGGACAGGCATTGCATATATAAGATATAATCCATGCTTGTATTCAACTAACTTGGAGTGGCTACTTATACTGTTAACATTTTTCAATTAATATTTTTCTCTAAATCCACTCTTTTTCGAAATAAGTTTTGCACAATTCACTTGTGCCAACCTGAAAAAAAAAGATAAAAAAAATTTTAAAACTGACATTATATTTTTGCTTACTTTATTTACATTCTTTTTGTAGTAAAAAAAAAGAATAGTTTTTTTCTCGCATTTCTCACTAATGGAACTCCCTTCCAGCTAACTTTAATCTGCAAAAATTTAAATGCAATGTCAATTGGTATCTACTGTCCTCCTTATCACTCTTTTCTCTTAACACTCATTATTAATGTTTCTGTACCTAATTCTTTTACACCAAGCAACCCCTTGTGACTTAGTGGCTTTTCTACCTTGCATGGGGTGATACAGATGAAAAAAATGAGATATTTCAAATGGGAAGATAATTAAAATAATACTTAAATATATTTTTTAATTAATATCAGAGACAAAAATGAATGCAAAGAAAGAAATAACTGGTCCCAAAATGACTGATTTGTGTTTTTAAGGTTTGTCAGGTTATTTAAAGCCAGAAATTATTTTTAGAATTTTTTGGAGATAATAATGATTTACTGATACATCCTACTAATCAACTTAAAGCTGGGGGTGGAGATGAAGTATATTCATACCTTTCCCAAATCAGTATAACAAACCTGACTGGAATTCAAAATCAGCTCTCTGATTTCTTATTCCAAGTCATTATTCATTACACCAACTGCATATTCAAGCTTGCAGCATCTGATATTCCTAAGCAGTCACCCATCTACATACAGACCAGGCTCGACACTGCTTAACTTCAGTGATTGTATGAGAACCAGTGTTTCAATATGATATGACCATAGACCCTGGTCCGTAAAAGTTTTAGCTCCCACCAGTGGATATAAGGTTAAAATATATGAATGCATAAAGAAAAAGAAGACAGCAAAGGTAAAGCTTAAATAAGAATAAAGAAAAAGAGTAAGCATTTGAGATGTAAAACTGCAAACAGCTGCACTTTGGGAAATGGCAGACTGATGCAGCATATTACTTGCGCTTTGAAGACGAAAGTCAGCTATTCCAGAGATTCATATTTTGTCTGTAAAACATATTGATGCTTAATAATTGGACTTTTAGTATCATTTCTCTTGGTACCAGTGAGTATCGGTAGAAGTGATATTTTTATTTACCAATGTAGCTGAAGCCTTTATCCTGACATCATATAATATGAGACTTGTGTAATTCAATGAATTCTGTATTTAAGAAACTGTTATTACTTTATGAAGAGAATGAAATGAAGACTTTGTGCATAGATAATCTAATTTGCTGGAAAGTCAGCCAGGGATGATCCTTCTGTGAAATAATACAATTGGAACATTCAGAATATATTTGCCACTTCAAGATGGTCTTTTACAGGGTTCTTCTTTTTTGGTGGGGGATTTATTATTTTTTTTATCTAAGTGATATAAAGAGTGATTAAATCCAAAAAGAAAAAGGAGGGAAAGAGAACTATTAGAGAATAGTCAAGGGAAAAGAGAGAAAGAAAAGAGGAGAAAGAGAAAGAAAAAAGAGAGAGAAAGAAAAACTGAAAGAAAAGATAAAAAGAGAGAAAGAAAAATGAAAAGAGAAAGAGTGAGAAATGAAAAAAGAAAAAGAAAAATGAAAAGAAAGGAAAGGAAAGACAGAGAGAAAGAAAAATAAAAAGAGAGAAAGAAAAGACAAAGAGAAAGAAATAAAAAAATGAAACAGAAAAAAGAAAGAATAAGCCAATAAAGAACACAAAAGTTAGAGAAGAATAAAAAAAGAATCAAGGTATAAAAGAAGATGCTAATGACTGCTAAAAATAAAAAAATAAATAAAAAATAAATGAATTGGAAAGAAAGAGAAAAAATAAAAAGGACAGAAATGTGATAGAAGAAAAAGAGTGAGTGAGGAAAAAAATAAAAAGGTTTGACACTAAAATAATGCAAAATATGAGATAAGATAATGGAAATTAGGGAAATGTGCAAAACAGGAAATGAAAGAAGAAAGTGAAATGAGAAATTATGGAGAAGATAAAACAAGTGTGAAGATAAAATTGAAAAAGAGTAAAAAAAAAAAAAAGAGGTGATAAAAAAGAGGAAAGAAAGAAGAGAGTACAAAAGAGTACAAAAATGAAAGGAATATAAATAAATTAAAGAAAATTATATATATATATATATACACACACACACATGCAAGTTTCATTGTAAAGGAAGCATTATTAATAAAAAGAAAAAGCCAACACTCAATAATATCAACTATGAACATGGCCACAATATGCTGACCGTGTTTGCAAAATAAAACATTCCAATACATTTAGACATACATAAAACAATCTGTATATTCAGTTAAAAGTTAAATTAAATTCATCTTTGATAATGGCTAAAAATATAGCCAAAATGTTTCCTGCCCAAATATACTATATTATATATATATATATATATATATATATATATATATATATATATATATATATGTACACACACATATAATTGTGTAATTGGGCAGCAAACCCTCTTTTATACAAGCTTCATTACAGATAACTAACAAGGCACCATGATTAAGCTTTTTATTTAATTTTTCTTGTGTTCATATACATATTTTCTTTTCTGGACATAAAGTGTGTAAAAATTGTACAAATGTTCTGTATATTCAAGTGCATTAATCTATTCTATTAGCCATTATCAAGGATTTTTAAATTTTTTATTTTTAACTGAATGTGTACATTTTTTATATGTTTCGAGAGTGATGGGAATGCTTTATTAATTTCCAAACAAGGTCAGCACATTGTGACCATGTTTATAGTCGATGTTATTGAGTGTTGGCTTTTTCTTTTTATCAATAGTGCTTCCATTATTTAAAAGAAATCTATCATTAACTTAGTCAAAAAAAAAAAAAAATTCCCATTCTTAGACATTCCCGTAGAATTGAGTAGTAACCTATTCACTACTTCGTTATACAAAAATTCAACTAGTAGGAATTCTTGCCACCTTAATTTTATGAGTGAATGTCCACTTAGATATTAAACATGCATTATAAAGAATTTTCTCAAGAGAGCACATGAGATATATATACAATTTTAAAATGTGAATAAGTAACTACAGATAAACAAAATTAAATAGTCTTCATGTTGAACAATAAAAGATTTCTTTATCTAAATTCAAACAAGATATTCAATGGGATGTAGATTTTATAACCGATTTCACAAAGCTTCACAAATGTACACCATTTTTTTTATATTCTATTTTGTAAATTTCTGCTTAAGGTTGAGAATGGTTATTATTTTTAGAAAGATTTGTTGGAGAAATGTTCTTTAAAACATAATTGATCACCAATGTTGGGACCCATCTACTCAGTCAGTCTGTCTGAATGTTGCAATTTCAAATATTTAACAACATCTTTTAAATGAGACATAAAAAAGGTTATTTTCTGAAGGAAAAGTAGAAGCAGAACGTCAGTTAAAATAACATTTATATAATTCATTTTAGAAATATATAATAACAATAAAGTATGAACTGTGTTAACAGACTTACTTTATTATGGTCAGCCTAATATCTTTGTGAGTTTATAGACAAAGGTTTAGTAGGTAGTAGGTAGTTGCTGGTTAATCCTTTCTATTGTGTGTGTGTGTGTGTCTGTGTGTGAACAAGGCCTTAGTTGGCTGATCTGGTTGTCTCTCTTCCATTGTGTGCATGTATGTGTATGCACAGGTAGATCAAACCAGCCTCCCAAATTGATTTGAACCTCAAGAAGAAGTATGCTTCTATTTTTATATCTGTAATCTAACTTTACATAGAGGTGTGAACTTTTTTAATACAAAGTTTTCATTGGTTAGAAAATAATTTCACACTCGTTCACAAAAATCCTTTTTTGAATTTTCGGGAGTGATGAAGGGAGTTATTATTGTCATTTTCTAAATTGTCCAAAAATAACAAGTGGTAGGTCTACAACTACATCCACAAGCATTTTGGAAGTATTTGCCTTTGTAATGACTGTTTATCAAACAAACCTTCTGATGAGATTTTATTGGTTGAAAAATACATATAGGATTTAATTCCTATAGATCTCCAGCTCATGAGAGAGATTAATTGGCATTGTCTGAAACATCATCACAGACTTATTTAAACTTATCTGAAACCTGGAAAGCTTTGAGCTTGATGAGTAAGTAATGTATATTACTGTGTGGCTGACCAAATCATAGTTACAGCATCTTTTGTTAGTAAAAGTCTTTGTTTTGACAGAAAATCTCCAAAGGATGATTAATTGAATTTTTGGAGTACCACATCATTGCAAAAGTTTATGCCCAGTTTTCATTGTTTATATATAAACAGCAACTCGACACTTCTGGTTGTTTTGGTGCCATGTGTTCTAGATAGAAAACTTTCATTTTTCAGGTGCAAGTCAAATTTCGTCAAATATTGACGTTTTGTCTGCAAATGAATGTCTTAAAGATGGAAGATGAAAAATTGCACTTTCACCATATTATGCTCTATAAATTTTGGAAAAGAGTAAGCATTGGAACTGCAACAAAAACATTCAGAAGTTTTATTTAAATTGTACTCAAGCTCATTGGATGGCCAAAAAGTGGTTTTGAAGATTTTTTCAAGATGATTTTAACCTAAACGATCAACCACACTCTTGGCAACTTTCCAAAATCAATGAAGGCACTCTGTTTACCATTGGAGAGAATAAAACAAAGATTTCAATGGAAGAGATTGCTAAGAGTCTGAAAATTATTATCTCAACTGCCTTGAAGAGACTTGTGTTCAAAGACAGACAGCAGATTTTGGAAAATCGAAAAGGTGTGATTTTCCACTATGCAACACTGCTGCAAAAAAGATCTTGAAGAAGCCTAAAGAGTTGAAATGGGAAACACTTTAGCAACCACAATATTCTCCTAACTTGGCTTCTTCAGATTTTCATTTGCTTCTGTCTATTCAGAACAATTTAAATAACAAAAAAATTGACTCTGTACAATCAGTCAAAAACTACCTCTTCCAACAAACACACAAAGTTTCTATAGAAATTTGGTTTGGTTTGTTTTATGGCATATCAACCTTAATGGGTGATTTAATGCCAACAAAATTTTTATTGCTTCTAATATTTTTTTTTCAAAAATCTATTTCTGGTAATAATTTTTTTCTTCCAAAAAATCTATTTCTGGTAATATTTTTTTCTTCAAAAATGTATCACTGGTAATAATTTTTTTTTCCAAAAATGTATTGCTGGCAACAATTTTTTCACAAAGCATTTCTGGTACTAAAATCCATTTTTACACTTACATAGTGTTTTGACTTCATTTTATTTACCCATAGCTGGGACCCTAACAGGTGCTACCATCCCGGGTCAGGGTGGAACTGGGAACACTAGCAATTAAGAGGTAGTTCCACGCTCCTCAAAACCTCTTAATCAGAAGCCTTGCTGCTGTATGTAGTTTATCATCATACCCAGGATGGTTCTATGGCAATATTATCAAAAAGAGACAGTTGTTAAAAACAATGGTGACTATGTATTTCACAAATAAATGTTTTTTGTGAGTGTGTAAAATTTTGTTTTAATTTTCTAATTGGGTACAAACCTTTGCAATGATTTAATTTATAACATATAATTTCCATGACAGTAATTTTAAAATTCATTTCTCAAGACAACAGAGCAATAAATAGAAACAAATATCTTCCCCTTTGGCACCATCTTCTACATAGTTTCCTCCAATGTTTATATAAGCTTCTATTTCAACATGAAATGATCTCACTTGACTAGCTAAGTATGCCATACATCCCAGCTGAAGTAAAACATCACATAAAGCCAGCCTATCGACAGCAACAGATGCCATTCCTAAGTAAA